TATGCACAAAAGACCTGAATCCTGTTATGTAAGTATCACCATTTCTTTAAGTTTATAGTGTTTCCAGAGGCATGCTGTTTAGGAAGTGGATGCTCCTCCAAACAAGAAATTGATTGAAAGTATTTGTCTATAATTTGAATGTATTTCCTAATAATTCGAAAGTTTTTATTCTTCTGTGTGCCATGGACTCATTCCTACTGACATTTGTGCTCATAAAACAGAATGAGAACAGCTTCACTGAGGCAGACTATGGTTCTTATGGGAACTAACTGTTGCCTCTTTCTCCTGTGGAGTACCTTGTGGATTCTATCTGCTGACTTTTTTATTATCTTTCTGAACACTTTCACCATGCTTAAAACTGAAAATCACTGCTTTATAGCTGACCCTCTCGGGGGTTTTCAGGGGCTGTAAACTGCACAGGAAGTGCTTGTCCATTTTTTTCCCCTCCCATGGAGCAGTTTTAATGGAGTGACTTTTAATCTGCAGCCCTCGGGCTTCTCTGTCATTGTTCTTGTTCAGACATTCCTCTAGGTTGTATAGCCCTGGTGTACAAGTTGCCATACGGTGGTCACTTGTGGTTGCTGTGAGGCTGAACACCGTGACACTGATGTGTCAAATGCATTAATGGTTGGCTACCCAATGTGGACAGAAAGTGAGGTGGAGCTCCCCGGTTAAAACAAGCTTGGAAGGAGGAGTGGCTTCCACTTCCATAATAGCTTGCCTCTGGAAACCCTATGAACCTCGAGAGAGAATGAGAGACACCCAAGTGTTGAGGACTCTCCTTCATAGAGTTGCTATGAGTCATCTGTGACTCGATGGCACTTAACAACAACAACATGGAGCAGTGGATGGGTCTGACCAACCTTCAGGTTGGTAGCACAACTCCCTATCCAACTGGGCCACCGGAGCTCCAACTCTCCTTGTTGAGTACCATCCAGTTGGAACCCATGCGTAGCAGACCCTCCAGCTGGTTTGCAGAGACAGTAATCACCAGGGAGGAGATTGCCCATCCTTTTCCTTGCCATCCTTCTGCGTGCCTTTGGGATTGCAGTGCAGATTCTTACCACGAGGTCTCCAGAACTCACCATGCATACTGATTTTTTAGTAGGTTATGTCCACTTTAATCTGTGCTGTAATCCCCCTGAAGACACGTTTCAAATCTGCCAGCTACTCTGAGAGAGAAGAATGGGCAACCTCCTCCCATGCAAGTACTGCCTCTAGAAACCTGCTGGAGGGTCAGCTATGGATCTGTTTTGACTCAGTGGTACGCAACAACAACAAGTATATATTACTTGTGTTTATTAACCACAATCTCTCACGTGGCACCTAGCCTTACATCTGTGAAAAGAAATGCTGGAGAAGCTCAATGTCAGCTGTGAAAACTAGGCCGGGTGCTGATTGTGGAACGGATCACCAAGTACTCATATGCAAGTTTAAGCTGAAGCTAAGGAAAGTGGAAAAAAAAGTCCATGGGAACCAAAATATGACCTTGAGTCTATCCCACCTGAATTTCAGAACCATGTCAGGAACAGATTTGAGACCTTGAACACTAATGAGCAAAGACCAAATGAGTTTATGGGAAGATATCAAGAATATCATCCAGGAAGAGTGCAAAAGGTTGTTGCAAAGATGGGGGGGGGGGAAGACCAAAATGGATGTCAGAAGAGACTCTGAATATTGCACTAGAGCGTCAAGAAGTCAAAGCAGAGGAAAGAAATCAAAACATTAAAGAGCTGAACAGAATTTTTCAAAAGGCAACACAGCAAGACAAAGTATTATAAAGAAATGTACAAAGAGCTGGAGTCAGAAAATCAAAGGGGCCAAACTCACTCAGCATTTCTTAAGCTCAAGGAACTGAAGAAGAAATTCCAGCCTTGAGTTGCAATACTTAGGGATGCTTTGGGCAGAATATTAAATGATCCTACAAGTATTAAAAGAAGATGGAAAGAGTATACAGAGTCATTATCCCAAAAGGAATTAGCAGACACAGAAGAATTTAATGAAACAACATATGAGCAAGAGCCTGTGGTGATGCAGGAAGAAGTTCAAACTGCTTTGAAAGAATTGGCTAAGAATAAGACTCCAGGAATTGATGGTATACCAATTGGCATATTTCAACTAACAATTGCTGTCTTAGTTGTGCTCACAAAATTGTGCCAAGAAATCTGGAGATCAACTACTTGGCCAACTGACTGGAAGAGTTCTCTATTGTTCCCATTCCAAAGGTGATCCCAGAGAGTGTGGAAATTATTGAACAATATCATTAATATGAATTGTAAGCAATATTCTGCTAAGGATTATCCAAAAACAACTAGAACAGCACGTCAACAGAGAAATACCAGAAGTGGAGGCTGGGTTTAGATGGAGTCGTGGTACTAGGTATATTGTAGCAATGTTAGATGGATCTTGGCTGAAAGCAGGGAGTACTTTGTTTCATTGATTATGCAAAGGCATTTGAGGGTGGATCATAACAAACTGTGGCTAACTCAGAAAAATGGGAATCCCTGAGCACTTGATTGTGCTAATGCGAAACCTATACTTGGACCAGGAGGCAGTCATCAGAACAGAGCAAGGAAACACTGCATGGTTCAAAATTGGGAAGAGTGTACACCAAAGATGTATCCTATCTTCATACCTTTTCAATCTTTATGCAGAACAGATTATTTGGGAGGCTGGGCTCTATGAGGAGAAATGTGGCATCAGGATTGGAGGAAGACTCATCAACAATCTGCATTATGCAGATGACATAATCCTGCTGCTGCAACTGAAGAGGACCTGAAGCGCTTGCTGTGGAAGGTCAGGGACTGTAGTCTTCAGCATGGATTGAGTCTCAATATCAAGAAAACAAAGATTCTCACCACTGGGACAATTGGTTGCATTATAATGGATGATGAAGAGATTGAGATTGTTCACAGTTCTAGTTTGCTCGGCTCCACAGTCAACACTCTTGGCACCAGCAGCCAGGGACTTAAAAGACATATTGTGATGGGAAAGTCTGTGGTTAGAGACCTCTCTAAAGTACTAAACAGCAACAATGTCAGTCTGAAGACTAAGGTGTGCCTGATACATGCCATGGTCTTTGCAATCACTTGCTATGCATCAGCTTGACAATGACTAGGGAGGAGAGAAGGAGAATTGAATGCCTTTGAGCTGTGGTGTTGGAGAAGAGTATTGAATGGTACCATAGACTGCTAAGAAAATGAATAGGTTTGTCTGGAGAGTGTGAAGCCAGGCTGCTCCTTGGAGGCAAGTATTCTGAAGCTTCGTCTGACATACTTGGTATGTGTTGCAAGGAGGGTCCAGTCCTTGGAGAGGGACGTCATGCTTGGGAGGGTGGAGGGACAGACAGACCAGGAGAGGAAGACCCTCGATGAGAAGGATTGATTCAGTGACTGGGGTAATGTCAGAGACAGTGAGGTTGGAACAGAATAGGGCAGGTTTTAGGGCTTTTGTACATAGGGTCACTATGAGTCACAGATGACTCAATAGCACATAAAAATAACAACATTAACCACAATATCCCTTTATTTTCATGTTTTATACCTTGTTCATATTAACTACATTTGTTACATTTTGTAAACATTTAATTTCTTTATATCATCGTTTGTGATATTTTGTGAAAAGCTCCCTTTTACAACTTTCGCAAAGGCAGGCAATTTAAAGTAATAAATGAGTATCTGTTTTATTTTTATTTGCTTTTGAAATGAAACTGACTTGTTGTTGATTGCCGTCGAGTCGAACACAATTCATAGCGACCTTATGAGCAAAATACCAAACTGACTTATATTTATACTGAGGTTATATTTGGTTGCATTTCCCCTCAAAAAATAAAATTCTCATACTTGATACAGGGAATTCTTCTATATTCCTATATTATTTATCACTTCCTCCTTGGGACTGCATTCTTTTTTACTTGAAAAACATCTTTTTCTACCTGCATTCTTTTTTACTTGAAAAACATCTTTTTCTACCATTCTCACTCTATCCACGTTGAGTTTAGTTGGTAGGAGCAGTAGTGATTTTAAATAACCGTATATCCATAGGCCCAAAGGACATGCACCAGGAAAGGTCCTTGTTTAATGCACACAGGCCAGAACTCGTCCTCCAGGAAAAGTGTGTGTACGCTTTTTTATTTTGTTGACTCTATTTCTTTCTTCATGTTTGTAAAAAAGACACTGCCTGAACTTTTTGCTTATACTTATTTATAATAAAACAAATTCTATTTTTTCCTTCTCAATTTCATGGGACACTCCAACAATGAATTCTACGTAAGGAAAAAAAATTCCCTAAGGCTATGAAACCTAGTTAGAAAAGAATTGATATCACCATTTTCTTTCCGGAGTTTCCAACTTACTGAAGTTTGTTTGCAAGTAGAAACGGGTTGGTTCTGTGTGGGTTTTTTTATGTGTGGGTTTTTTTAATCATAATATTCTTCTGACAAAACGAATTGTTGTTTTATGAATTCCTACATGAGAGAAGGAATTTGTTTCATTTACTACTTTATCTCCAAAAACTAGAAGGATGCTTCCTTTCATACTTGTGAAATGAATAAATTAATATCGTCTTCAGCAGAAAGTTTTGTTCTCTACACTTGTACCCTATTAAGGAAATTTTTGCTCTCGAAGTTAATAGAATCCTCCTGAACAATACTGCACAAAAGAGGAAAGAGGGTGTAGAGAACCACAACCTAAAAAAGGTGCGGACACTTTTGAGTTATTCCCATCCATTCCGAAACGAAAAATACATGAAGTTGTAAAGCGGAACGCTTGGTGGCGCTGCAGGCTAAGAGAGTGAAAATCCAGCTCCGCGTGACTCCATTAAACCTGAGCAGTTCCTAGCAGCTCCCTGGCAGAAGGAACTACTTTCCATTCTTGGAGGTGGGCGATTTCGGAGAGGCATCCTCACACTCGTCAAGGGTAAAACGAACGCATATATAACCGAACCAAGAAGGTGGGTTGACTGAATTCTGAGGATTAAATACTGCATCTTTTGGACCAAAGGCAGGATGGATTCGCCGCTCCCCAAAGCACTGCAGAAAAGGCAAGTGACCGCCATTGTTATTCTATTACTGTTGTGGGAGGCGGGCTGTGCAACGCTTAAATATTCTGTTCTAGAAGAGAGGGAGAGTGGGTCATTTGTGACCAACCTAGCAAAGGATCTGGGGCTGGGCTTAGGGGAGCTGGCTGCGCGCGGGGGCCAGGTTCTTTCCGAAGGGAACAAAGAGCATTTGCAGCTCCAGCAGAAAAGTGGCAATTTGCTCCTGAAAGAAAAATTGGACCGAGAGGAGTTGTGCAGTGACACGGATCCATGTATACTGCATTTCCAAGTGTTACTGAAAAACCCGGTGCAGTTTTTTCAAGGAGAGCTGCAGCTCCAAGACATAAATGACCATGCCCCAGAATTCTTGGAAAGTGAATTCCTGAAAATTTCTGAAAACACGCAGCCAGGGACTGCATTTCCCTTGAAAATAGCTCAGGACTTGGACGTAGGCAGCAACACAGTTCAGAACTATACGATTAGCACCAACTCCCACTTCCACCTTTTCACTCGCACTCACAGTGACGGCCGGAAATACCCAGAGCTAGTGCTCAACCAAGTGCTGGACCACGAAGAGCAGCCTGAGCTCAGGTTAACCCTCCTGGCAGTGGATGGAGGCTCCCCTCCTAGGACAGGGACGTCCCAGGTTGTCATCCAGGTCGTGGATATCAATGACAATGCTCCTGAATTTACTCAGCTGCTCTATGAGGCACGTGTCCCAGAAAACAGCCCCATAGACTCTCTTGTTATCACTGTCTCTGCTAGAGATTTAGATGCTGGCACCCATGGGGAGCTCACCTACTCCCTTTTCCATCCTTCCAATCCAGTCATGCAGGCTTTTGAAATAAATGCAGTCATGGGAGAAATTCGATTAAAAAAACTTTTGGATTTTGAGGAAATTAAATCTTACCGTGTGGAAATCCAGGCCTCAGATGGCGGAGGCCTATCTGGAAAATGCACAGTAACCATAGAAGTGATGGATGTGAATGACAACGCCCCTGAGCTGACCATGTCATTGCTCATCAGTGATGTCCCAGAAAACTCCCCTGAGACCGTGATTGCTATTTTCCGAATTTCAGATCCAGACTCAGGAAACAACGGAAAAATGAAGTGTTCCATCGAGGATGGTCTCCCCTTCCTTCTGAAGAGTACCATAGAGAATTTCTACACCCTGGTAACACAGAAGCCACTGGACAGAGAGAGCAGAGCTGAGTACAACATCACCATCACCGTCAGTGACTTGGGCACCCCCAGGCTGAAAACCGAGCACAAGATAACCGTGCTAGTCTCTGATGTGAATGACAACGCGCCCACTTTCTCCCAAGCCTCCTACACCCTGTTCATCCGCGAGAACAACAGCCCCGCCCTGCACATGGGCACCATCAGCGCCACAGACAGAGACTCAGGAGCCAACGCCCAGGTCACCTACTCGCTGCTGCTGGCCCACGACCCGCACCTGGCCCTGGCCTCCCTGGTGTCCATCAACGCGGACAATGGCCACCTGTTCGCGGTGAGGTCGCTGGACTACGAGGCCCTGCGAGCCTTCGAGTTCCGCGTGGGCGCCACGGACGCGGGCTCCCCCGCGCTGAGCAGCGAGGCGCTGGTACGTGTGGTGGTCGTGGACGACAATGACAACGCGCCCTTCGTGCTGTACCCCATGCAGAACGGCTCTGCGCCCTGCACCGAGCTGGTGCCCAGGGCGGCCGAGGCGGGCTACCTGGTCACCAAGGTGGTGGCGGTGGACAGCGACTCTGGCCAGAACGCCTGGCTGTCCTACCAGCTGCTCAAGGCCACGGAGCCCGGGCTGTTCAGCGTGTGGGCGCACAATGGCGAGGTGCGCATGGCCAGGGTGCTGAGTGAGCGCGAGGCACCCAAGCACAGGCTCCTGGTGCTGGTCAAGGACAATGGGGAGCCGCCCCTGTCTGTCACCGTCACGCTGCACGTGCTCCTGGTGGATGGCTTCTCTCAGCCCTACCTGCCTCTGCCTGAGGTGGCCTCTGAGGAGCCCCACGCTGACTCCCTCACCGTCTACTTGGTCATCGCTCTGGCCTCGGTCTCCTCGCTCTTCCTCTTCTCTGTGCTCCTGTTCGTCACCCTGCGGCTGTGCAGGAGGAGCGGAGTGACGTTATCTGATCGCTGCTCGATGCCAGAAGGCCACTTTCCCAGCCATTTGGTGGACATCAGCGGCACAGGGACAGAGAACTACCAATATGAAGTTTGTTTGACAGGAGAGTCTGGGACCAGCGAGTTCAAGTTTCTTAAACCCTTATTTCCCAACTTTTTGGTCAAGGAAACTGGTATGGATACTGAAGATAATGCCAATTTTAGGAATCATTTGGGGTTAAATTAGTAATTAAATTTTGAGAAGGCCTGGTTAATGGAGCCATTTGCTGATCTACTTAGAATTTGTTCACGGAAATTACATATTCTCAGTCACCGTCGACAATGTTTTATTTGAAACTATATCTGTTTTGAGAATTTTACATTTCCTCCAGGCTTTTTCACATTTTGCATGCACACACAAGAGCTCAGAAACAGTTTCAACATGTTTCTTGGGTTTTATTTAGTCGGATTTGGGGAAGTAATGATTGTTGTCAAGTTCTTGACTATTGATTTACCTTGTTCATTGCTATGCTTGAGAGATTTATATTCCAACCTCTTTGAACATCATCACCATGAATCTAGACATATTGTAAGTTATGGTATTCCATTTCAGAAATCATTTTCATTTATGCAAAAATGTGTGTGATCTTGAAATTATGGATTTCTTTACTGTTTCGAAATCACTATTGCCATTTTAAAAAATATTTCTCAAGTTAACGATTTCTTTCAAAATTGACATTATTGAACTAAGGATGTACTATTATTTGAAATTAAGAAAAATAAATGAAACTCATATTAAATAGAAAATGGTAGGGTTGTGACTGTTTTCATAATATTAATAAATGGTTTCCACATGTAAATAATGATTTATTATTTTAAAACAATATATATTTAAACATTACTCAAGCATGAACTGTAAGTACAAAAAAACAGAAAAATAATCCTAATATTCCAACAAATCAGAAATAACCATCATTCACAATAAATTAATTATTCTTACCATACTTATATGTATACATATAAAAAATAGACTGGTAAAATAACTTTCTAAAAATGAACCCATAATAAATTGTTGCTTTATACTTAAACCTACTAGAATTAATTTTGCTTGATTGAGTATATAAAATAAAATTATGAGAAACTATGGGTGAATTAATAAAAAAATTATATCAGTGCCATTTTTTTCCCTTTGGATTCATCCCTTCTATTCAGACTTCTCAATTACACAGCTGGTCTGAAACTTTTGATGGGGCTCTACTCCAACGACGCCATCATAAGTTAGACATTTATTTTTTAAAAAATCATTTTTTCTGTTTTTTATTATCAGTAACTTTATAAACTCAGAGGTATTTCGTACAGTAATCAGAAAAATGAACCTCTGTGAGAGAATATCTGAAAATGAGAACATCAACAAACTATGCACAGCCTTTGAGTAAAATATAACTCACAGCACGTTTTCCGAGGCTGTACAGCACATGGGAGTGAAACAGCTGGTAGATTCCAATCGCTCAGGTTGAGGTTGGCAATGCAATTCCCCACCAGGCCACTAGAGTCATTATGTACTGTCCACTATGCCTCAAGTATGTTCTAAATCTGAGACTTAACCTGTACACTATTTGTAGTGTTGACCCTTCAGAATTTGCTTTACTCATAATTCTGGAAATTTATTTAGGTGTTTTCCTGAATTCTTTTCTGTACTCTGGGTTTCAGTATTCCTGGTTTTTGTTTACTCCCTTGAATTCCTAGGAAACACCAATAACTTCATAAAAAGAAGGTGAATTGTTAAATTTATTCAGAACTTGAGTATCTGAAAATCACTTTCTACTATCACATGATTTAATGATTTTGTTGGGTTTGAAAACATATGTTGGGAATTATTTGCCCCTAGTTTTTTTATAGGTTTGGTATATACCAAATGTACTTGGCAGTACATTGCTGCTAATATATTGAATACCCAATATATTCAACACCTTAATGTAAATGCATTAATTCTTCTTTAGTCTTATGTATTCATTATCTGACTTTTGCATGCACATGATGTGATTATGAATACTATGGGTCGGGCCAAGCAAATAATTCTGTCACCTTTGATTTTTGGCCCTTTAATGAGGTCCTTTGCAGCAGATTTTCTCCATTCTAAATGCAATTTTATTTCCTGGCTGATATTTCCATGGATGTTGTTGTTGTTGATCCTTCTTCTTCTCTCCTTCCTCCTCCTCTTCTTCTTTTTCTTTTGTTGTGTACCTTTGAGTTGGATCCAACTGGCACAGGAGGAGATTGCCCCTCCTTCTCCAGGGGAGCATCTGGTGAACTCAAACTGCGTGCTTTCGGGGTTGCAGCTCAGCTTCTAACCTGGGTGTTCTGAAACCTGCCCACCATGGTTGATCTTGCTGGCATTTGATACACTGGTGATATAGGTCCCAGTATCACATCACAGGAACTCATAAGTTACTTCAGTAAAGCAAACTGACAAACAAGTGCCATATTGATAAGAGTAAACACTAAACTAACAAGTATATACCCACCTAAGCTATAAAATAAGTAGCAGCATACAATCACTCCCCAAATTCGGTGAACTGACAAATAGGTGTTGCTCCTATAACTACAAATCATGGAAACAATTACACATACAAACATCATGGCACAGGATAACCTCTCTGGTCCTGCTTAAAGTCCAGCAACAGGCAAATGCAAACACTGCACGGATTCCCCCCCCCCCGGAATGAAAAAGTTGGAAACAAAGTAGAAGGAATGGTAGCTGGAAATTATGGACTTGGGGACAGAAATAAGGCTGGAAATTAAATTATTAAATTTTGTATACTCAATGATTTATTCATAATGGAATAGGAAAATATCTAAAGTTGGAAAACAAGAGAATAATTTACTTGGCATTTCTCAAGTTGTAAGAACTAAGAAAGAAATCCAAGCCTTGAGTTGCAATTCTGAGAGATATTATGGAGGAAAACTTAAATGATCCAGGAAGCATCAAAGAAGATGGAGGGAATGTACAGAGTCATTGTACCAAAAAGGATTGGTTGATACTGAAATATTTCAGGAAGGAGTATATGATAAAAAGCCAATGATGAAGAAGGAAGAAGTCCAAGTTACATTTAAAACATTGGCAAAAAAAAAACCCCAACCCAAAAAAGGTCCCAGGAATCAGTCAATATCAGTTGAAAAGTTTCAGCTAACAGATGCAGCCCTAGACATGCTTATCGGTCTGTGCCAGGATATTCAGAAGAAAGCTCCCTGGCTCACCGACTGGAAGAAATGCATACTTATTCCCATTATCATGAAAGAGGGTACAACAGAATGTGGAAATTAATGAACACTCACAAATAACATCATTTCACAAACAAAACTTTGCTGTAGAATATCCAAAAACCGGCTACAACTGTACATTGATAGAGAAATGTCCGAAGTTCAAGTTCAATTTAGAAGAGGTCCTGGCACCAGGAATATCCTTGATGGTGGCAAATGGATCCAGAGTGAAAGCAGAAAATACCAGAAAAATGTCTAATTGAGTTTTATTGATTATACAAAGAAAGGTGTTTGACTATGTGGACCATAACAAACTTATGACTAGCACTGAGAAAATTGGAAATTCCAGAACAATTAATTGTGCTTATATGAAACCAGAAGAATGTCTATCTGTGCTTCATTGACTATGCAAAGGCTTTTGACTGTGTGGATCACAACAAAGTATGGATGACTCTGAAAAGTATGGAAATCCCAGAACAGTTAATTGTGCTTATGCGAAACCTATACTTGGACCAAGAGGCAAGGAGACACTACATGGTTCAAAATCAAGAAGAGGGTCCATTAGGGATGTATTCTGTCTCCATACCTTTTCAATCCATATGCAGAACAAATCATCCAAGACACTGGGCTGTACGAGGAGGAATGTGGCATCAGGATTGGTGGAAGAATCATCAACAACCTGCATTATATGGATGAAACAACCCTGCTTGCTGAAGCTGAAGAGGACCTGAAGAGCTTGCTGCAGAAGGTCAAGGACTGCAGTCTTCAATATGGATTGAAGCTCAACATAGAGAAAACAAAGATTCTCACTACTGGGCCAATTGGCAGCATCAGTATGAATGGTGAAGAGATTGAGATAGTTAACAGTTTTAGTTTATTTGGCTCCATAGTCAACACTCATGGTAACAGCACCCAGGAAATCAAAAGATGAATTGCATTGGGAAAGTCAGCTGTGAGGGACCTCTCAAGAGTACTGAAGAGCACTGACGTCGGGCTGGAGACTAAGGTGCGCCTGATCTGGGCTATAGTCTTCGCAATTACGTGCTATGCATCAGAGAGCTGGACAGTGAATAGGGATGATAGAAAGAGAATTGATGCCTTTGAGCTGTGGTGCTGGAGAAGAGTGCTGCATATACCATGGACTGATAGGAGAACAAATAGATTTGTCCTGGAGAGGGTAAAGTCGGAATGCTCCTTGGAGACAAGGATTCTGAAGCTTCATCTGACATACTTTGGGCATGTTGCAAGGAGGGGCTGGTCCTTGGAGAGGGGCATCCTGTTTGGGACAGTGGAGGGACAGCACAGGAGAGGAAGACCCTCGATGAGATGGATCGATTTTGTGATTGGGGTGGTGGGAATGAGTGTGTCCGAGACAGCGAGTTTGGCACAGGATAGAACGGCATTTAGGGCTCTTGTACACAGGGTCGCTATGAGTTCCAAGGGACTCAATGGCCTATAACAACAACAACAACATATGAAACTTATACCTAGACCAAGAAGCTATTTTCCAAACGGAACAAAGGAACATTGCATGGTTTAAAATTTTTAAAAAGGTGTGTGCCAGGATTGTAAAGTTTCTCCCTATCTATTCAATCTGTATGCTGAGCACACCATCCAAGAAGCTTGACTTTATGACTAAGATTGAAGGACAACTTATCAACAACCTGCAGATGCTAATGACACAACCTTGCTTTTGAAAACCAGGAGGACTTGAGGCACTTTCTGCAGAAGATCAAGGACTACAACCTTCAACATGGGTTACATCTCAACAGCAAGAAAACAAATATCATCATGATGGCAGCATCATCTTAGATGGAGAAAAGATTGAAATTATCCATGATCTCATCTTGGACCCACAATTAACACCTTTGGTACCAGTAGTCCTATCAGGAGACATCTAGCATTGGGAAAAGCTATTGTCAGGGACCTTTCCAAAGTCCTGAAGAACAATGATGTCAGTTTAAAGACTAAATATACCTGATTCAAACCATGGTTCTTCCAATCATCTGCTATGAGTCTGGGAGCTGGACATTTAAGGATGACAGAAGTTAATCAAATGCGTTTGAGATGTGATGTTAGGGGAGAGTACTCAATATCCTCCGGATTGCCAAAAGAACAAATGGAAAAGTCCTGGACAAAATGCAGTCAGAGTGCTCCTTGGATGCAAAGATGATAAAGCTTCGTCTCACATAATTTGGGAATGTTGTTAGGAGAGGCTATTCCTTGAAAAAGACATGATGCTTGGAAAAGTATAATGTTGGTGGAAGAGAGAAAGACCTCAATCAGATAGATTAACACAATGACTGCTGCAATGAGCTCAAGTATATCAGAAATTATGAGGATGGCACAGAACAGGACAAAGTTCAGATCTATTGTTCATAGGGTCACTCTGAGTCATACTTGACAACACCTAACAACCACAATATATATATATGTATATGTGTTAGAAGCCATGATTTATTAGAAAGAAAATAAGCAAAGGAAACAACTAAAAATAAAAAAGATAAAATTAAAATTAAAAATATAAAAGCATAGCATAACAGAACAGACTAAAACTATAGAATAGTAGACCAATAAACAAAAAAACTACCTAAAAGAATTTAAGGGGATTTTGAGTTAAATTGATGGAGTGGCCATGCACCTTTACTTCAGCTCTCTCTAGAAATGTGCTAATACATAAATGGGAACCTACAGAGATGGAAACACTAGGATAGAAAGCAAAAGAGAGGAGTGTCAGAATATGGGAAGAAGATTGACCACTAGCACATCTGACAAATCAACTACCAAGACTGAGTGAGGAAAACTGAGGTCAAGTCTAGTTTAAACTTCAGGACTCTCAGAAGTGTCCAAACTGTCAGCTGGAAAGAAGCTGTAATATATTAAAAGAAACAAAAATTATAACCAATGTATACTCTTCTCTGAAAACTACTGGAAGATGTTTACCAAAATGAGAGAGTAAACTGAGGGAGAGGAAGGCAGAAGAAACAAAAATGAAAAGATTCAAAACAGTACTGAGGTGAAAGAAATCTCCAGATAATATTGAAAGGTGATCCCAGGGGGGCAACTGCACTCTGGCATAAGGAACCAGTTTGAAGTGTGTGTCTCAAAAGACAGGAATGTTGAGGGATGTCATCTGTGAGTCCACAGAAATGATATCATCTTTATAACCAGATGAAATTACACTACGAAAGCAAAAACAAACAAACAAAAAACCTAACACAGCTATATAAAATCTAAGAAACAGGGAATCCTACAGAATAAAAAAAAAAATTGAAGAAATTCCAAGAGTGACATCAAAAGGAGTTTCAGGATGGTAGCTACGCAACAAGCTGCTTCTGTAGAGCAACTATGTGACTTAAAGAATGGAAATAATAATAAAATAATGGAAATAATTCAGTGAAAAGTTATGCTCAGAAATGTGAAAAAAATGTGGTTCAAATCCACCAGATGCTCTGCTGAAGAAGGAGGAACAGTCGCCTCCTGTACCAGTCAGATCCAATTTGACGGTACACGCATAAAAAAAAAGAAAAAAAGAAATGTGAAAAAAATGGTGTGTGTACAAGGAAAGTAAGAAATTGAAAAGCAAGGCAATCACTAACCTCTTCTAAAAGTAAGAAAAATTATAATTAATATACAATACTATCAGTGATTGTAAGAGAAAAGAATGCAAAGTCCCTTGAAGGTATATCAGAACTAAAATCTAATTCAAAAGCATAAGGAGTCAATTTATTATTAAATGAATCAAATATAGCAGTGTACAGATTGAGATTAGAAGTCACAGTAAAATAATTTGTTCTGTTTTTTTAAAACATTTTTAAAAATTTTATTATTTTTTTGTGTGTGTACCGTCAAATCAGATCTGACTGATACAGGAGGAGATTGTCCCACCTTCTCCAGCAGAGCACCTGGTGGATTCAAACCATGCACCTCTGGGATTGCAGTGCAGCTTCTTGCCAGTAGGCCACAAGAGCTCCCTTATTCTGTTTTTTAAAAAATTATTGTCTTTAAGAGCAATGAAGAAAATTAAGAATGTGAAGGGGGAAAAATGATTGTATTTTTATATACTTTTCTTCCCACTATTTGATTTTGAACTTAAGACATAAACTATTTTGGAGAAAAACAAAACTGAAAATTATTTCTTTTTTTTTAATTAATTTTAAGTGATGAGTAAAATAGGGCTCTGGTAGGTTTCCCAAAGAATAAAAAGAACATAAAATACTCAGCATTACTAGTAAAAATGTGGATATGACTAGCAGCAAAGAAATAACAAAAAATAATACAGAGAAATTTTTAAAGACAGAAATTCTTTCAAAACAAAATACAGATAACTTTTAAAGGGAAATAAAATATTTACCAGATTAGCAAACAAATATAAAATACAAAGTGCAGTCACAGATGTACCACTAGAGAAACCATCAAATGAGATCAGTAGGAAAATCTAGCAAACTATGTAGAAACAGATAATAGTCTAATTAGGAAACCTTTCTGTAGTGTAAAAATAGATGGAAAGCCCCCTAAAATATTCAATGAGAACAGAATAATACCAAAATTAGACCTTTGATGAGATGGATTGATTCAGTGACTGGGGTAATGGGGGTAGGTGTGTTGGAGACAATAAGACTGGCACAGAATAGAGCAGGGTAGATAAATAAGCTGTTGTACATAGGGTCGTTATGAGTCGCAGGCATATATATATATATACACACACACACACATACATACACAGAGAGAGAGAGAACAATATAAAGGCCAGAGAAAGAATAAGAAATGAAATTTAATTGTGTATTGAAATAATAACGCATAATAGCTAAACATTTCTTGTAGCAACAATTTAATAATTAAAAGGCTAAAGAATAGAAGTATAATTTAAATAGATATAAAAAAAGACTTTACATATAAGAACAATGAAGGAATGGGGGAAAATTCTCTTGATAAAAAAGTGAACAGAAGTATTTACCCCACATTCTAGATCAACCATCATAGTTAATGATTGCATATTAGGAGTACATCGATAATTACAACAATAACCTACTTCTTACTAATAATCTTACTACTATTCATTCAGACTTTACTACCATCTAACTCATAGAGACCTTCCAACCAGGTTTCTCACTCAAAACTCATTTCAAGTCAGAAAAAGTCAAACCATTAGTTTTTTAAGGCTGTAAATTGCACAAGAGGAGATTGTCCATCTTTCTTCCGTGGAGCAACTGGTGAATTCCAATCACCAGAGAGGCGTGGTTTTAGCTGTGCAACTCCCTGAAGACTAGGCCACCAGAGCTCCTAAATGTTGAGACTGCTGTTGTTCTCCTTTGGTACAACTGGTGAATTTAAACCACTGGAGATGAGCGATCTTTGGGTTAGCGTACTTTAAATATATTAAAAGTTGCACTGCTTGTGCTCCTACTCCAAAGGCCCTTTCTGAGTCGTCTGTGGTTGGAATTTGTCGGAGAAAGATGAGCAATTTCCTCCGGTGATGATGGACAGTCTCAGACACCTATCAATTGACTCAATCGCAGTGAGCACTTTTAGCAACCGAGATTTTCTATGAAAAATAGTACTTGCAACAGTCAAGGAGTGGAGCTGTGCGTCAGAATTTGTTGCAAAAAAATATCTTGGATAAAGAGTGAACAGGTTTGAAACTAGCAACCAAAACCCTATTGCGGTACTCAGTTGATTCCAACTTGCAGCACCATGTGGGTGCTGGGTGGAACCGCCTCACTGGGTTCCCTACGTTGAAATCCTAGGAGCACATCACCCCACCTTTCTTCCAAAAAAACGCTTCCAACCACGACCTTTAGGCTAGACGCCTTTTGGTTATTCCCATCACCAGACTCCGGCTGAACGGAAAGAATGTTTCTTTCACAAAACACCAGGGAGAGGCCAGTTTACCCTAAAAAATGAATGGCATAATTGATAAATAAATAAAAGACCCTAAAACTCTATCTGTTGTCTTTTTTTAATGAAGTGTTACTTTCTTTCATAATCTTTACTATCAACTTTCAAAACGGGAGATTTTCTCTGAACTCTTCTTGGTGGAGAGCAGGGGTTTAAATGTATGTATGTCTCTAGACTTAATAAAGCAACAGATTAACTACTCTACGTTTTCAGAACATCAGAAGGGAAAATAATGCGAGCACTTACTGGCATTGCGATGATCATTTGAGGACAAAGGTGGCATGAAATGGTAAAGATGACTGAGAAAAATCACTCCTGTTGCCAAGGTTCCTTTAATCCGCCATCTTTTTGTTCTATTGTTGAGAGGGGAATGACTCGCAACACACGCAAGGTGGCGCTGTTGACTAAAGAAAAAGAGAAAAATGCCCGCACAAAGGTTGCAGCCGATTCCGGCCTGAAGAGGACATGGGACCAAGAGAGAAAAGTCCTGTAGAGGAAATCTGGGGATAGGACGTGAGCAAAAGTGGGTCCACCTCCTCCCAAGCATTGCTATTATTCATTAGTCGGTTGCTGTCATTTCCGAGAGCTGCTTGAAGCGAGTGGAAGTGTTTTTGAAGACTCACAGGAAGAATGGAGGCCGGCAAAGAGAGTGCTGTGCACAAAAGGCAAGTCTTACTTCTTTGTGTATTTCTGAGTGTATCCTGGGCTGATGCGGATCCGCGTCGTTATTTTGTGGCGGAAGAAACCGAGAAAGGCACGTTTCTGGCCAACCTTGCAAATGACCTGGGGCTGGGGGTGGGGGAACTGTCAGCCCGAGGACCTAGAATCGTTTCAGACCAGAACATACGGTTTTTAGTACTCAGTCCACTGACTGGTGACTTAATGCTAAATGAGAAACTCGACCGAGAGGAGGTGTGTGGCCCCACAGATCCTTGTGTGCTTCCTTTCCAGTTATTACTAGAAAAGCCTTTTCAGATTTTCCGCGCTGAATTATGGGTCAGAGACATCAATGACCATTCTCCAGTATTTCTAGAGAGAGAAATTCGCTTGAAAATCTTGGAAAGCGCTACTCCAGGGGAAGCATTTCTCTTAGAGCGCGCGCAGGATCTGGATGTTGGTGTCAACAGCTTGAGCAACTACACCATCAGCCCAAATGCAAATTTCCATATTAGCGTCAGGGATGGCGGGGAGGGGACTCTCTATCCAGAACTGATCTTGGATGAAGTGCTGGATCGCGAGAAGGTGCCTGAGCTCAGTTTAACCCTCACAGCCTTGGACGGCGGCTCTCCGCCCAGGTCAGGGACCGCCCTGGTGCGTATCCTGGTAGTGGACATAAATGACAATGCGCCTGTATTCGCGCAGTCGCTCTACAAGGTGCAAGTGCCCGAGAACCTCCCCGTAGGCTCGCTAGTTGTCGCTGTGTCAGCTACTGACCTAGATACAGGAAGCAATGGGAAAATACATTATGTGGTTTTTTATGCCACTGAAACTATTCTCAAAACGTTTCAAATCAACTCAACATCTGGCGATATCCGTCTTAAAGCCCAGCTAGACTATGAGACAATTCAAAATTATACACTAACTATCCAGGCCAAAGACGGTGGAGGGCTTTCTGGAAAATGTACTGTGATAGTGCAAGTAACAGACATAAATGACAACTCCCCGGAGCTGCTTATGTCCTCACTTACTAGCCCAATTGCAGAAAACTCACCTGAGACAGTCGTTGCTGTTTTTAGGATTAGAGACAGAGATTCTGGAAACAATGGAAAGATGGTTTGCACAGTCCAGGACGATCTCCCCTTCGTCCTGAAACCATCTGTAGAGAATTTCTACACATTGGTAACAGAGAAGCCTTTAGACAGAGAGCAGATCTCGGAATACAGCGTCACCATCACCGTCACAGACTTGGGCACCCCCAGGCTGAAAACCGAGCACAAGATAACCGTGCTGGTCTCCGACGTGAATGACAACGCGCCCACCTTCTCCCAAGCCTCCTACACCCTGTTCATCCGCGAGAACAACAGCCCCGCCCTGCACATGGGCACCATCAGCGCCACAGACAGAGACTCAGGAGCCAACGCCCAGGTCACCTACTCGCTGCTGCCGCCCCACGACCCACACCTGGCCCTGGCCTCCCTGGTGTCCATCAACGCGGACAATGGCCACCTGTTTGCGGTGAGGTCGCTGGACTACGAGGCCCTGCGAGCCTTCGAGTTCCGCGTGGGCGCCACGGACGCGGGCTCCCCCGCGCTGAGCAGCGAGGCGCTGGTGCGCGTGGTGGTCATGGACGACAATGACAACGCGCCCTTCGTGCTGTACCCCATGCAGAACAGCTCTGCGCCCTGCACCGAGCTGGTGCCCAGGGCGGCCGAGGCAGGCTACCTGGTCACCAAGGTGGTGGCGGTGGACAGCGACTCTGGCCAGAACGCCTGGCTGTCCTACCAGCTGCTCAAGGCCACGGAGCCCGGGCTGTTCAGCGTGTGGGCGCACAATGGCGAGGTGCGCATGGCCAGGGTGCTGAGTGAGCGCGAGGCGCCCAAGCACAGGCTCCTGGTGCTGGTCAAGGACAATGGGGAGCCGCCCCTGTCTGTCACCGTCACGCTGCACGTGCTCCTGGTGGATGGCTTCTCTCAGCCCTACCTGCCTCTGCCTGAGGTGGCCCCTGAGGAGCCCCACGCTGACTCCCTCACCGTTTACTTGGTCATAGCGCTGGCCTCGGTCTCCTCGCTCTTCCTCTTCTCGGTGTTAGTGTTCGTGGCAATGCGGCTGTGCAGGAGGAGCAGGACCACTTCAGTAAATCGCTTCTCAGTAACAGAGGGCCAATTTCCGGGCCACTTGGTGGACTTTAACGGCACTGGAACCCTGTCCCAGACCTACCAGTACCAGGTGTATCTGACGGGAGGTTCTGGGACCAATGAGTTCAAGTTTTTAAAACCAATTATCCCTAGTTTTCCACCTCAGAGCACCGAGAGAGAAATAGAAGAAAGTCTTTCACTTCAGAATAATTTAGGGTTTTGATAAAGAGTGAAATAAAAGTGATATTGCACCTGCGCGCATATTCCTGAGAAGAAATTTATTGAGGCAACTGTTGTTTGTTTTGCTTCACTGGTTCTTTTTAAAGGCCTCTCACGTGATTTCAAGTACCCTGACAGTCAAAGAATGGCTTCTTTACACAGAAAGGGGTCCAGCTTCTGCTCTAAAAAGAAAGGAATTTATCTGTTTTATGTTTTATCATAAACAATCAAGCTTAATGCCTAGCATACTACATAATAAATAGTTTGACCATTTTAAATTGCTTTAGTTTCTTCCGTATTTCCCTACTTTAATTTTCTGATTTAAGAGTAATGTATGAGTACACATACAATAAATTTCAAAAGCACAGAATTTAAAGTTTTTGTTACTAGGTACTGTAGAGTAGGAATCGACACAGCTCCCGTGGGTTTTGAGAAGCTATAAAGCACGGGAAGAGATTCCTCATCCTTTTCCCACAGGGCAGCTGGTAGACTCAAAGTCTGTCTTTGGGTTGACAACGCAAATCTTTACCACTAAGCCACCAGGGCTCCCTTAAGAATTTTTAAGCTTTAACATTTTTAGCATTTGCCATGCACCATATACTTCTTAAACATGTTTAATCTCAGAAGTAAACCTACAAGTGGAACTATTTTATGAATTTTTAAAAACAAATATTCATAGAAGAGCAGTGTTCCCAACCTACTTTTTTTTTGTAATATGTTTTCCTGCTTGAATTAAAAAATTTATGTTTAAAGTTCCCCAATCTCTATCAGGAAATTGTAACAAATCGTTGTGGACATATATTACTAAAGAAAAATTCCTAGATTACTTAATTATTCTGATAAAGAAGAAACTTTATTTGTTATGATAATCTGTACATCCCATGTCTTTAAAATTATTTGGATAATCTGGTCATGCTCTGTTATTGCCATAATTAATACTATTCCCATTTATATTTTATTGATCTTAACTTTCATTAGTAGTACCAACTAATGATCTCAAACTCATTGGTGTGGAGTCAGAACGGTTTATAGCTGACCCTTCAGCTATTTCCCGAGGCTATAGTAGCATGGAAGGGGGAGATTGTCGTCTTTTTTTCTCCCTAAGGAGTTGCTGGTGGATTTGAACTTAGAGTTATGCTGCCTCTGGGTGAGCAGCTCGGCTCCCTATGGGCCAAATTGGGAGAGCACCTCAGTCAGTGTGGGGCGGCTCTGAAATTAGCACAGTCCTGTCAGTGTGGTGCCTTTTCACTGACTCTGTCACAAGTTAGTTCGGCCTAAATTGAATTCTACCAACTTGTCCCCTTTTGAAAAAAAATTTTAGTTTGCATTGCCTGCTTTATGGCAAGGTCTCGAACATGAAATAACACTGAACATCTGCCAGTAAATCTGAGAATGAGAACACCAGCAAGAAGCTGCGCTGCAATCCCGAAGGCACACAGTTCAAATCCACCAGCTGCTCCACAGAGAAGGATGGGCAACCTCCTCCCATGCGCTTAACTGCCACTGAAAACCTGCTGGAGGGTCAGCTATGGGTTGGTTTCAACTCTATGTTATACAACAACAACAATATAATGAATCACGGGCCATCTTCTCCCATGTGATTTACTGCTTCTGAAAACCAACTGGAGGGTTAACTCTGGGTTCCTACTTGATGGCAAACAATAACATAGTCTGCAGCAAAGATTATTAACAATAAGATATACACGTCTAAAAAGAAACTAAAATCCGACTATAAAAGTATCATAGTAACTTGAATACCTCACAAATTGGGAACTATGTGGTGGCTGTTATGTACCTACCATGGTGTCAAAGCCGACCATAGCTGAACAACTGTCGATTTTTCAAGGACAGTAAATCACATGGGATTGATTGCCTGTCATTTCTTTCAGATGAGAAAAAACGAACAAACAAAACACACACAAAAAAACCCATAGGCAGAAAGATAAATATATTTGCCCAATGTCCACAGGTATGTAGTAAGTATTCTCATGGTTTGTAATAATTAAAATATGTCATTTCTATGTTGCTCCCATGTTGTTGTTGTTATGTGCCGTCGAGTTGCTTGCAACTCATAGCGACCCTATGTACAACATTCCTAAACTCTGCTACCAATCGTACCTCTCTGATACACCCATCCAAATTACCTCCTCACTGAATCAATCCACCTCATAGCGGGCCTTCCCCTTCTGCACTGTCACTCCACCCTACCAAACATTATGTCCCTCTCCAAGGACCTGTCCCTCCTTGCAACATGTCCAAAGCATATTAGATGGAGACTTAGACTCCTTGCCTCTAAGGAGCAGCCTGGTTTGACCGTTTCCAGGATGAATCTGTTTGATTTCCTAGCAGTCATGGTACCCTCAATACTCTTCCCCAGCACTAAAGCTCAAAGGCATCAATTCTCCTTCTGTCCTCCTTGGTCATTGTCCAACTCTCTGATGCATAACAAGTGATAGCAAAGACCATGGCCTGTATCAGACGCACCTTAGTCTCCAGAGAGACACCATTGCTCTTCAGTACTTTGGAGAGGTCCCTAACAGCAGACTTTCCCATGGCAATACTAATTTCCTGGCTGCTGGTTCCGAGAGTGTTGATTGTGGAGCCAAGCAAACTGAAGCTGTGAACAATCTCAATCTCTTCACCATCCATCCTGATGCTGCCAATTGGCCCAGTGGTGAAAATCTTTGTCTTCTTGACATTGAGCCTCAATTCATTTGCTCCCATAGTATTTAATTGTTCCTGCATATAATGTTTCTTACCTATCAGTCTGTAAACCAAATATTTCCCATGTAAAACTCAAACAATAGTAAAGCCCCTACTAAAGAACATTCCTTTTGTGTGGCCCTCAAACGGTTGTTTGTATAGTAGCACTGAAACCTTTCTGAGTGTCCGTACATACAGTTGTACCAACAGTTACTATATCAACAGGGAAAGACATTACATCCGTTTCCAATAGAGAAACTGTAAGATTCTGTTAGGACGCGTGGTGGCGCTGCAGGATAAGAAGGTACAAACGAACCGCTGCTTGGTCCTTAACCGGAAAACCTTACCCACCAGAGCCCAGAAACCCACGAGAAGCGAGGGCACCAAGGAGAGAGTGCTGGGAGGTGAAAAGGGACATTTATCAAAATATTTCCGATGTATCTTGTGGATTAATCACACTATCAAGTGCTGGGAGTTTACCATTCTTGAAATCCACTCTTCTGGAAGCAGTCTCAGGCAAAAACAATGGAGGCCAGCGGGAAGCTCATTTGCAGACAAAGGCAAGTCACTTTTTTCTTTATTCTCTTGGCATTCTCTCTCGTAAGCGCGGAAACTAGGCGTTATTCCGTTGTGGAGGAAACTGAGGGCGGCTCTTTTGTAACCAATATAGCTAAAGATTTGGGTCTGGAGCAAAGGGAACTCTCCAGACGCGGGGCTAGGGTCATTTCCAAAGGAAACAAGCTCCATTTGCAGCTCGATCTGGAGACCGGGGATTTGGTGCTTTATGAGAAACTGGACCGGGAGGAACTGTGTGGTGACACAGAGCCTTGTGTGCTACGTTTCCAGGTATTGCTAGAAAATCCTTTAGAGTTTTTCCAAGCTGAGTTGCAGGTAATAGACATAAATGACCACGCCCCAGTGTTTTTAGACAGAGAAATATCTCTAAAAATATCAGAGAGCAGTGCCCCTGGGACGACCTTTCCTCTGAAGAACGCCCAGGATATGGATGTGGGTCACAATAATATTGAGAATTATGACATCAACTCCAACTCCCATTTTCGGGTCCTCACCAGAAAACGCAGTGACAATAGGAAATATCCAGAACTGGTGCTGGACAAAGAACTGGATCGAGAGGAGGAGGCTAGGCTCCGGCTAACCCTCACCGCCCAGGACGGAGGTTCCCCTCCACGGTCTGGAACAGTGCAGATCCACATCGAGGTCATGGACACCAACGACAATGCCCCTGAATTTGAGCAGCCTCTCTACAGGGTCCAGGTCCCTGAGGACAGCCCCGTGGGCTCCTTCATCCTCAAGGTCTCTGCTACTGACATAGACATAGGAGCCAATGGAGAGATTTCTTACTCACTTTTCCAAGTTTCAGAGGAGATTAACAAAACCTTTGAGGTCAATGCCATGACAGGAGAAATTCGACTGAATAAACAACTTGATTATGAAACAATTCAGTCCTATGAAGTCAATATGGAGGCTAGAGATGCTGGAAGCTTTTCTGGGAAATGCACTGTTTTGGTTCAAGTGATGGATGTCAATGATAACGCCCCGGAAATATCAGTTTCCGCATTTAGCAGCCCTATTCCTGAGAACTCACCAGAGACTGTGGTGGCAGTTTTCAGTGTTTCAGATCTTGATTCCGAGGACAACGCGAGACTAGGTTGCTCCATTCAGGATGATCTACCATTTCTCCTGAAATCTTCTATCGAAAACTTTTACACCCTGGTAACAGACAGACCCCTGGACAGGGAGAGTAGATCTGAGTACAACATCACCATCACCGTCAGTGACTTGGGCACCCCCAGGCTGAAAACCGAGCACAAGATAACCGTGCTGGTCTCCGACGTGAATGACAATGCGCCCACCTTCTCCCAAGCCTCCTACACCCTGTTCATCCGCGAGAACAACAGCCCCGCCCTGCACATGGGCACCATC